TATATAGAAATTCTTTTAATTTTCGTAGCTTAAATGAAATAAAAGTTTAGCTGAACTACTTGCACTTTTTCTCGAGGCTCTTGACATGGTCACTGCCCCATATCCAGTTGTCTTTGTAACTGCTTAAAAAGTAAGCATACGTGAAGTTGAAAATACGCTATGCTTCTAATTTGGTGCTGCATCTGTGGTGCATAGTTGACTAGACTAACTAACTGATTGATTACTTCTGAATAAGTCTTCTGAAGAACGAATTGTGAAAATTATACTCAATTTTCGTAAATTTTTAACTTTATTACTTTTTGATTTTATTATTTGTTGAATACATTTTTGGCAATATTTATTTAGCGTCTAAAATTGTTGTAAATTGGTAAATAAATGATTGATTAAATAAGTGATTGAATGATTGATTGATTGAATGAATGATTGAATGAATGAATGAATGAATGCTTGATTGAATAAATGAATGAATTGATGAATTAATGATTGCTATTTATTTTTTGATTGATAATTTGATTAAAAAAAGGTATTGTGTTGTTGTTTTAAATTCAAAGAAATATGCTGTAAAAGCATGATAGAATTTTGCTTGGTTTTTATCAAGTGTGAAAATTTGCAGCAGTTTTTTTCTACTTCATTTATACTTAAGATAGAATTTTAATAACCTAGAAGCATAAATAGCATGCCAACAATTAATTAGTTACCTAGCAAAGTAAAAGTAAAAGTAAAAGTAAAAGTATGAATTATAATGAAAAATGTAGCACTGACAGCATCCTTTACTTGCTAAGTGCCTAATACTTAGAAGTTAGTATTCTTTTTGCTACATTTTATTCTAATTGCCTAAGATTAGTCTGCAAAATTTGCTAATTTTAACTCATCATTGAGGTTAAAAGATTGCTAGGCAGTAAAGTTTACGTTTACTTGTTTTTACTTATCACTAAGAACAAATCAACGGAATTTACGTGTTCTTATCGTAAGAAATTATCATGTAAATCTCAACTATATCTACCACTGCATCTGAATTAACAAATTTATGCATAAATTGCGCTTGAATTCCCACTTTATGACTAGAAAAAGTAGTGTAGTTATAATTATTTTATTGAATACTTCACTTTAGAATGCGAATTATCAGTCATATAGTCTTCATGTTTTATGGCAAAGTAAGACTTATCCTTTTAAAAAATCATATTACTTTTATTAATAAGTTAGGAATTTGTTAATGAAAGTAATGGTGAAGTTATGATTCAAAATTATAAATTATTTACAGATATATAAAATAATTTAAATTACAATTTATGAAAATATTTTTCAGTAATGAAGAAAGAACTATTTTAGAAGGCAATCGAAAAAAAAATTATTAAAAAATAATAACGGATGGATATATGAGTAATTTTTGTGCAATAATAATTATCTGAATACTTTTATATTTTTATAAGATGTGTATAAAATAAGAAGGAAGAAGATTTTTTTAATAAATTTTTAATAATTTTGATTGCAGAAATTAATAAAATTACTCAAAGAATGATATGGGATGCCGTTTTTCGAGGACTTCAAGTAGCACAGAAATTAACTTGGATTCAGCAGATTTGGTATCTCGAAATTCTGTTAATTGTTCATTAAAAAGTAGTTCAGAGCATCAGTGCCGAGCAATGTCAGCTTCCGGAAAATTTCAGAAATCTCATAATTGGACAACAGAATCTACTGATTTGCATATTACTTCATCTGATTCAAGAAAAACTATTATTAATTCTAGTCCCAATGCTTCCCCGTTAATGCGACGTGTTACACCGATTCGATCTACATTCTTCGATCAGATCAATCCCAAATCAAAGCAATCATTTTGACTTCTACTGCTGATTCTTATCAATTTTTTATTTCGTATTATTATTTTTGCCTATTAATAACACAAATACGAAATATGAAAATATTCTCACTTTAAATTAGCTATACGATGTAATATTACTGAAAATGAATCAGTTTACTTCATATGGCATTAAATATCCTAAAATTTAATGTTTTCTAAATCAAATTATTGCTCACTGTTATGTAAATTTAAACCTAATTTGAATAGTTTTAAATTGTATGTTATGATTCAAAGTGGTCAGTTTCAAAGTGGTCAATTTCAAAGTGGTCAATTTCAAAGTGAACAATTTCAAAGTAGAGAATAATAAAAGTGTTAAAGTTTCAGAGTGCCAAAAAATGCTGAAGTTTACGAATTAAATTCAATTTATGCTAACAAACCATTGGGGTAAATCACTAACATTTATCTACTAGTAGATAGCATTTCGTTTGCATTTTTTCAAATGTAATTTTAAAATTAAATTTCACTCTCACAATTTAAATTTTATCCATTTAATCCTGAATGCTGGATAATACTTTACAATTTTTTAGACAAATTGAAAGTGCTAGCCAAGCAGATTTTTTTCGAATGCTCGATGAAAAAATTGCTCAAGTACGCTTTTCAGAACTGCAAGTCTTTTTGCTTTTAATTTTTACAATTCGCATTTTTATTAATTAAAAATTTTATCTTCTTTAAATTTCTCTCACATGAATTAAATCTGACGTTTAGAAATAATTTATTGAAATTAAAAAAAATAGACTAAATATGCGTATATATTGTGTCAAAATTGACTTAATAATTAAGTCCATTTTGATTGATTACAATTTTAATCCAAAATTCAATCAAAAAATTAGCATATGCTATAATATATTTATTTGTGCATTAACTTGAAGGGACGTGGTGAGTTGACTGATTCTGATACTGAAAAATGATCTTGACGTGAGAATAGGTTTGTCACGAGAAAAACACGAGATTGATGCTAAAAGCCTAATCACATCGATGGAGAAGGATGCCTCTCCCTGACATGTACAACTGCAATACGTTGAATTTTAAGTTTAACTTTCAAACTTATGTGATACAATTACCTTGTTTGGATTACATTTAGCGTCAAATAAGTAAATTAGTAATGCCATCTGTTTTTCCATTTCGTCTTCTAAAAGTGTAATCTAGTGACACTTCTTGACTTATTAACTGCCAATGATTCTCAGTAGTTGATTGCTAACACACCTTATCTTACATAATATGCTAATTAATTCTTGCACGACAAATTAATACTTGATAGTAATGTATCACATATTCTTACACTACGTTCAATTTTTATGCCTTTGTTTGATTACTCTAACATACTTTATTTTCCAAACTAGTCAGATGCTAAAAAGTATTCAAAAGTAAAATTATTATTTTATTTCCTATAATTATTTCAAATTTTCATTTCAAGTAATTGTATTCTTTTGTAATATACTGAAAGATGAGTTATTCTATTTCAAATAGGAATAAACTAAGAAGAATAAAGGCATATCAAATATATAATCTGTCGTACGTACGTGAGGCATTTCAATGTGATGAATATTGTTATAAATTCATCTGACTACTCTCTCGACAACATTTAAGTACACTTTCTGAAGCTATCTTTATTTTCTGAAATAATTTGCATCGATTCACTATCCACAACAAATGCAACCTTATTCTATATCTTGCACTTGCTTCCATAATTACTGAATATGTGAAAATCATGCTAGAAATAAGACCTTGTCAAGTAACATTGTGTAGATCATCCCTCAAATCAATCAATCCGTGTTTAAAACTCTGCAACATTTTGTGCATAAAAGTGAATGTTTATTTTATGGATCATCAATAAATTCATGATATTTGAAATGAATCAACGGAATATCATTTAGCAGACGAGTGAAAATAGCATAACATTACATTCATAGATCATTCATTCAATCAATCAATCGCATAAATTTAATTCAAATCAGAGTTTGAAAAAACGATCTGTACAGAATACACAACCCGGCGCTTCTGTATTCTGTACAAATCGTTTTTTCATAGCAATAACTTTTCAGTACGAATTCAAACTCTAACTGAAAAAATGAAAAATTGTAAAAAAAAAGAGAATAATGCAGTGGAAAAAGCATACTAAATATGACAAGTCCCGTCTTATAAATTAATTAACTTTCCAAATGCTAAGAGAAGGAAATTGCTGCTAGCATATAAGTAACAAAGGTGACAAATCGAATAGTCTGCTAAATTTGCTAAGTAATATCAAAAAATAAAATAAGTTTAGTATTGTATTTCAGTCTTACCAAGCACTTACTAAACTAATTAGACACAAAATCTAGCAATACTAAATTTAAGAACCAAAATTGCATATAAGATCCATAGTTCGAAAACAAAATTATTTAATAAAGAAATTATGCATTTCTATATCTGATATTAAATAATACCAGATTACACGGACAATAATAAATAGATTAGCGCAAAAGTAATCTGATCTCGGCGCTGTCTGATTTTTTTAAATAC